TGAAGCTGAATATGTCAGGAGAAACACCCCAACACATGTGAACATTATGGTCCAGCCAGCAATCTTTCGCCTCTTATCTTCACTTAGTGTGTCTGCAATAAGGCACACATAAATAATGCAAAAGCATTTCAGAATGATCTAGATGACATGAAAGCAGAGCACAACTTCATAAACAGATGTTTTGATACAAATATAACGCCAGAAATATCCACTATTTATCAGGTTGATTCTTTCCTGAAAGTGTGGCCCAGATTCATTCTGGAAACATAAGTATGACAAGAGAGTATTCCCCCGTATACATATGTATCAAGTAATTTTTTTCCAGTCCGTCTGACTTGTTATGATGTCAGACTATCAATTAGGCCATTTGAGTGTGTAGAATCATGCCTGAATGTGCACTCCTGATTTATAGTTGGGAAATGTACTTTCAATAATGCGGTTAACTGCAAGTGCAGATAACCCTTTCTTTGCCTTTCCAATTGCCTGGTACTGTACATGCCAATCGATCAGCAGTGCAAAAATGGTTATCTGCATTTGTGGTTGAGCGCACCATAGAAAACTTTTCTATATATATCTCTGTGTGTGTGTGAGTGTTCAAATGGCACAGGACATTCTCACTGCGAATGTCTCCTTGTGAACCAAACTTTTCTCTATCTGCGTGTGTGTGTGTGTGTTTGACCTTTCTACAATTGCAGTGGTTGAAAAAAATAAGGTGAGATAAGAGACTATATCCATAAGGAACTTACAGTTAACAAAAGGCAATTGCTTTTCAATCAGAGGAAGTTCAACCAAGATATCCACTTTGTCAAGTAGAGGTTTAGTACTTTCCTTGGAAGAACCAACATAAGCCTTAGGATCTTCCTCACTAATCTCATGAGAATTCCTTCCGCGCCACGATGACACTGAATCAATGGACTCCTGAAGAGATGAAGGCAAAGGCACCTCATCCGGTGGGACATATCTGAGTATCAGTACACATATTGCTACCATGGTGAATGCAAGAAGCGTACCCACGCTAACCTGCACAACATAAGTAGACCTACAAGTCAGTCTCCACATCACACATTTTGTTTCCATTAAAAGATGTACATTCACTACTACAGGAAAAGGTGGGTGTCAACATAAAAAAGGGTTAAACACATGTATTTCCATCTGGTATTGAGTTCCATGTGTCATTACCATGATCCAGAATATAAACTCCTTGACAACATCAGAATTTGTTTCAGGATATTATCAAGGGTCAGAAATATTACTGTAGGAAATAAATAAATAAACCTCCCAGGGTAGTTCACATGCAATGGGAACCCCCTTGATAAAGTTACAGTCTGGTAACCAAAAATTATAGCATTAAAATTAAGAATACTCAAATGCCTTTTAGCAGAGCAAAGAGTAAACAAATTATCCACCTCAACAATACTAGATCTTTCCATGAAACTTACCATTCCTGCCAACTGTGAAACATCCATAAAGAATGCCAAGACCGCAGCAACAATCCCAGTTGTGATTGTACTCTTCACAGGAACTTGAGTGCGTTTATTAATATCTGAGAAAAATGATGGCAGCAATCCATCTCTAGCCATTGCCATCAGGATTCGTGGCTAAGCATAAGAATATGAAAGGCATCAATATTTCATCAAACAAAATCAAATTAAATAGAATAATGATATATTAATCAGTGGTACAAGTGATAGGAGATTCATTGTAATAAACAAGCAGAAGAGAGCTGAGACCATACTTTGTAGCTCTTGAAAAGGAAGAGATGAAAGGAACATGACAAAAGATCAACAAAGAATACCTGAGGAAGAATAGAACCCATCAATGATGAGCAGAGAGCAGTAACAGCTCCAGCAGTTACCACATACCTTCAACCACAAACAGGAAAATAGCCTTCAATTCCCAAAGTTTAACTTAATTACCCAAAGATATGTAAAGAAATTGCAAGCACCATAAAATTATTCACTTACGCAGCCCATTGCATCCCATGACTAGCAAATGCAGTAGAGATGGGTGTGTCAGGATCCATTTCATGATAAGGCACTAAACCAACAATGACTATTGAAACCAACATATATAACGCACAGCAAATAGATAGGGCAGCACCAATACCCAGTGGCAAATCTCGTTGAGGATTCTTCACCTTTCGAAATACATGAAGGCATAATTCAAATTCTACACAAGATAAAACATCTCTACAGTCTTATAAAAATGATATTTTGGATGGCATACCTCTTCAGCAGCGCTGGCAACTGTATCAAAACCAACGTATGCAAAAAAGACAGTTGCTGACCCAGCAAGCATACCATTCACCCCAAAGGGAAAGTACCTGTTAAATCAATAAAGAGGAAGGACAATTGAAAATTTTCCTTTAGAAAAAGTAAACGAGTAGATATACAAATAGGGATGCCAAATACCCAGTAGGAAGTTCATATCCAGCCCAGCCAGTCTTGAAACCCAAGTAAGTACCAGCTACTATGACAAATATCATTGCACATACATTTGCTGTCGTCACAATGCCTTGTGCCAACGTACTCTGCAGAAATTAAGTGTTCAATTACACAAAAAAGGACAAATATATTTGGCAAGTTTAAGAATTTTTGTTCTACGCAAAAAGAAAACAAAGAAGATATATAAGTACCTCCTTGATTCCCACACACAAGAGCCCTGTGACAATAAATACTAAAATTGCTGCACAGGGGTCAACCACCATATCGAGCGCAGGAATATATTGCCGGGCTATAAAAGCAGGCAGACTGTCCTCTCCTCCAAAAAGTAATGCCTTGGGGAAGAAAAACAAATACATAACGACATATTCCATATACTTATTTCTTGAAAATTGTCAAAGCATGCAGGAAGAATCATGGAAATAAACTCAAAATTTAAACAAGAAAAAATACTACAGTGTTCTCCCTTACTGATAAACTGGAGCAGAATCAGAAGTTCCTATCCAAAGAAGGGGTCATTCTAATTCAAGGAATTTAAAATCCTAGCCCAAATTTCAACCAAGACAGGAGCACATATGGCATTCACTTTATTGTGAGCTAGTATTTCAGAAGAATTGCCCATATATCCAATTGTATACATAAAGGAAGTAAAGTACATAATATGGCTGTTCGACGTTTAAAACCAGATAAAACTACCCAAAAATAAAAGAAACAGAGCGAGAGAGAGAGAGAGATATGGTTCACTCTAAAATAATTTGGATAAATTTGCAAGTTCTACCAGTTCCAGCTCAGCAGATTATGCTCTGAGCTTCACAGAAGGAAAAGTTACAAGAAGTCTTGTTTTGCATAATACATAAATTGGATACTTAAAAGTAAATCAACTGTACCAGATTAGGGGATATGCCACGAGCAACCGCTGAACCACCAATTGTATATTCTAGAACCAAAGCCCAACCGACCAACCAAGCAACACTGCAAACAATGATAGTTCTGATATCACTAACTGATGCAAACGAAAAGTTTCAATGTAATTAAGTCGGTACAAGAATCTTTTCTTGAACAAGAATGCTAAACTTTACTCTTCCTTTTCTTTTAAAATTGCTATGCACGACACTTTAGCGACAGAGAATCACTGAGAAATTACCCTTCTCCAATGCATATGTACGTATAGTGATAGGCGCTCCCAGCAGAAGGGCAGCGACTTGCAAGCTCAGCATAACAAAAGGCTGAAAGAGCTGCAGCTATTCCAGCTATTAGAAAGGAAATTGCCAGGGCTGGTCCAGAGTGCTCCCTAGCCACTGTTCCAACAAGAATATAGACTCCTGCTCCGATCGTCGAGCCAACTCCTAATCAAGTTATATGAGAACTAACAGTAAAATATTTGTGAAAGACAAATAAACCATGATGTCCAATAAAGGGAAGTAGCTTGTTTCATTATTTCAGTCAAAAATTTAAAGTGGTCTGACATTTGAGTGCATGAGTGGGTGTATGTGTATAACACACAATAGGCCATCAATATAAATTATGCAGTTAAAACTTAGTAAGAACAATAATCAACTAAATCATACGCAAGGGATTAGTAGTAAATGAGTAATTTTATGATGAAGGGTGCATAAATAAAGAAAAACTTAAGCATACCATAAATCTGAATTTCAAAGCGAGGCACAGAGCAGGAAGATAAAGTTGAGAGGAAAAAGGAATAGACACAGGAGATCAAAATCTAATACCAATTATTACAAGAATATAGCGAGGAACAAACACTTAATCATCTTAAATACAAAAACAAATTAACATGAACAGTTTAATATGAGATTATCCAAACGCATATGCAAACACAAAACACATGTATCAGAAAATGATTAAGAAGGAAAAGTTTACCAATTGCAACAAGATGGGGAATAGTCAATTCCTTGGCCAACTGTTGACCCCCAGACTTCACGTGAACCGAGTCCACCTGTTTCCTCCTTATAAAACTATTCAGACCACCCCGTGAACCCTGTTTTCCACTTCCTCCACCTCCACCACCGTCTTTCGAATCAACTAATAAACCCATCACACAAAACCCAGAAACTCAATTTTTCTCCAAGAAAGCTAACAAATTTGATCTTCCAAGACTGCCTTTTGGCGTCCAAAGCAAAAGATACAAAATCGGTTTCTTTGCTTTGATTTGATACTAATGATAACTTCAATTACTTCATCTAAAAGGAAAAAAAATTACAAAAAAATTAGAACTTATATACACTAAATCAAATTCAACCTGCCTGCCCTCCCGTGTACATAATCTGATATAGAATTTTGAGGCCTATGTAACAAAACGGGAAGCGGGCAGATCAAGGAAAGAAAGGGTGGATTTTTCCCTTTTTCCTTTTGGGTTGGTGGTGGTTTCCTCGTTCAGATAACAACCCAAAATAATCTGAAGTTGGTGTTTTTTCTGATTTTTTCTTTTTATTTCTCTTTCTTTTTCTTTTTCTTTTTCTTTTTCTTTTTCTTTTTTTTTTTTTTTTATTCTGTTTTGCTGACATAGGAAATTGAAGCAGTCCAGAAAATACCAATAAAGAATAAACCGGGAATTAGGATTGCGTACGTAATTAGATCCATTCTAGTGGGCCCACACGCGCCCAAAGTTATCCATTTGGCTCTGGCTCGTATGGCTTCATATTGGGTTGTCGTCGTCGTTGAAAGAAAATCTTGAATTATTGGAGGTGAAACAAATAGTAAGTTAATATATGATGGATAATTACTCATCACAATGTGATGACGTGTGAACAGTTCAAATTCATATTTTTTAATGACATTAGTTAGTTACTAGCCTCTTCGCACGTGCTTCCGCACCTGCGAGAGGCTTTTATTTTTAAATTTAAAAAAGATAATGGGTAGTTGTTTTCCATAAAAATAGGATCCATTATCCGA